ATAATAATAATAATAATAATAATAATAATAATAATAATAATAATAATGATATTAAAGCAATTTATAATAAAATGATATAATAGAATAAGGTAATGAAATAAATATTCATAATGATAAAATAATTACAAGATTAAATTAACATTACGCTGACACATTTGTATAAAGTACAAAAGTGCAAAAAAAAACAACTAAAAGACAAAAAAGACAAAAAAAACGGAACTAGTAACACTTATCACCATATTTGATAAAAACTTTAATTTCGTAATTTATTTAAAAAATAAATGTTTTGTTTTAAATGTGGCACTAATTAAATGTCTTAAATACAGGAAATGTTGACTAAAAGCCGAACTGAACTATAAATAAAATAAATAATTAAATAAAAATAAAATAAGGTAGTAAAATAATAATAATAATAATAATTGTACTAGAAAATAATAATAAGATGATAAAATAATAAAAATAATAATACAGTGAAAATAATAATAAAATGGTAATGATAAAATAAAAACGATTAAATAAATAATAATGATAAAATAGTAATATAATATAGTAAATGACTGAAAGCCATTTTCTCCTTGGATTATTAATAAAATAATACAATTAAAATAAAATAATAAAATACAAATGATGAAAATAATAGAAATACTAAAAATAATACCAGTAATAAGAATAATACAAGTAATAAAAATAATAAAAATAATACAAATAATACAAATAATAAAAACAATAGTAAAATGATAATAACAAAATAAATTAAGAATAACAATGCTGGAGGAACGGTTCCCTGTGGAAAATAATAGAAGTACTAAAAATAATACAAGTAATAAGAATAATACAAGTAATACAAATAATACAAATAATACAAATAATAAAAACAATAGTAAAATGATAATAACTAAATAAATAAATGATAATAATGCTGGAATGATGGTTACCTGAGGCGTCTGCTGCTGTTTAAGATAATAGTGAAATGATAGTAACAAACTAAAATGGTGAAATAAATAATAGTAATAGTTAATA